AATACTTCGATACCGGTGTTGATTCCACTGTAGTTGATAAATATGTCGATATCGGTGTTGATTCCACTGTGGTTGATAAATATGTCGATATCGGTGTTGATTCCACTGTGGTTGATAAATATGTCGATATCGGTGTTGATTCCACTGTGGTTGATAAATACGTCGATACCGATTCCTCTGTGGTTGACAAATATGGCGATAATGTCGTTGATTCCTCTGTGGTTTGAGGCAGATTTGGATAAGAACTCGTATATCCGTTAGTGCACCTTGCTATGGAAACAATTTTGAAAATGCAAGATAAAACCCTATAAGATTTAACAAGAGGCCCAGGGGCCACAGCGCTCACCTGAGCACATCAGGCTTGAATTTACTCCACCCCCCCCTTCCAGGCATTCATCATTTAAACAAACTAGAATCTACACTACCTGAAGATGATTCCTTATAAATATCACAAATCATAATTTTGAAGTACTTGAAAAGAAGATTTTAAAAGGTTTCCCTATATATCCCTATGTAAAATTTGGGTCGGCCATTTTGGCCCCACCCTAGCCCCGGGGGTCATGATTTGAACAAACTTGAATCTACACTACCTGAGGATGATTCCACACGAGTTTCTTCTTTCCTGGCCCAGTGGTTCTTGAGAAGAAGATTTTTAAAGATTTTTCCTATATATTCCTATGTAAAACTTGGGTCGGCCATATTGGCCCCACCCTTGCCCCGGGGGTCATAATTTGAACAAACTTGAATCTACACTACCTGAGGATGATTCCACATGAGTTTCATCTTTCCTGGTCCAGTGATTCTGGAGAAAAAGATTTTTAAAGATTTTTCCTATATATTCCTATGTATAACTTTGGTCGGCCATTTTGGCCCCACCCTTGCCCCAGGGGTCATGATTTGAACAAACTTGAATCTACACTACCTGAGGATGATTCCACATGAGTTTCTTCTTTCCTGTCCCAGTGGTTCTTGAGAAGATTTTTAAAGATTTTTCTTATATATTCCTATGTAAAACTAGAGTCGGCCATTTTGGCCCCACCCTTGCCCCGGGGGTCATGATTTGAACAAACTTGAATCTACACTACCTGAGGATGATTCCACATGAGTTTCATCTTTCCTGGTCCAGTGGTTCTGGAGAAGAAGATTTTTAAAGATTTTTCCTATATATTCCTATGTAAAACTTGGGTCGGCCATTTTGGCCCCACCTTTGCCCCGGGGGTCATGATTTGAACAAACGTAAATCTGCTCTACCTGAGGATGATTCCACATGAGTTTCATCTTTCCTGGCCTAGTGGTTCTGGAGAAGAAGATTTTTAAAGATTTTTCCTATATATTCCTATGTAAAACTTGGGTCGGCCATTTTGGCCCCACCTTTGCCCCGGGGGGTCATGATTTGAACAAACTTAAATCTGCTCTACCTGAGGATGATTCCACATGAGTTTCATCTTTCCTGGTCCAGTGGTTCTGGAGAAAAAGATTTTTAAAGATTTTTCCTATATATTCCTATGTAAAACTTGGGTCGGCCATTTTAGCCCCACCCTTGCCCCGGGGGTCATGATTTGAACAAACTTGAATCCACACTACCTGAGGATGATTCCACATGAGTTTCACCTTTCCTGGTCCAGTGGTACTGGAGAAGAAGATTTTTAAAGATTTTTCCTATATATTCCTATGTAAAACTTGGGTCGGCCATTTTGGCCCCACCCTTGCCCCGGGGGTCATAATTTGAACAAACTTGAATCTACACTACCTGAGGATGATTCCACATGAGTTTCATCTTTCCTGGTCCAGTGGTTCTGGAGAAGAAGATTTTTAAAGATTTTTCCTATATATTCCTATGTAAAACTTGGGTCGGCCATTTTGGCCCCACCTTTTCCCCGGGGGGTCATGATTTGAACAAACTTAAATCTGCTCTACCTGAGGATGATTCCACATGAGTTTCATCTTTCCTGGCCTAGTGGTTCTGGAGAAAAAGATTTTTAAAGATTTTTCCTATATATTCCTATGTAAAACTTGGGTCGGCCATTTTGGCCCCACCCTTGCCCCGGGGGTCATGATTTGAACAAACTTGAATCCACACTACCTGAGGATGATTCCACATGAGTTTAATCTTTCCTGGCCCAGTGGTACTGGAGAAGAAGAATTTTAAAGATTTTTCCTATATATTCCTATGTAAAACTTGGGTCGGCCATTTTGGCCCCACTCTTGCCCCGGGGGTCATGATTTGAACAAACTTGAATCTACCTGAGGATGATTCCACATGAGTTTCATCTTTCCTGGCCCAGCGGTTCTGGAGAAGAAGATTGTTTAAAAATGCCATAAATTTTTCACAAATTCATAATTATCTCCCCTTGGAAGGGGGCGTGGCCCTTCATTTGAACAAACTTCATTCCCCTTCACCCAAGGATACTTTGTGCCAAGTTTGATTGAAATTGGCCCAGTGGTTCTTGGGAAGAAGATGAAAATGTGAAAAGTTTACGACAACGACGACAACGACAACGACGACAGACAACGGACAAATTTTGTTACTTATTGAAAAAATACTGTGAAATCACTTATTTTCGGGAGGTGGGGGTCGTTGTTTTCGAGGTATTGAGAGACCCGCGAATTCATGACAACCACGAAAGCATTATAACTCAATACTTCTCATACCACGAAATCAAATCTCATCATATCAAATATTTATTCCCATACCTCGAAAATTTGCCTCCATGAAAATATGTGATTTTACAGTAGTTGTAGCTTTAATACTAGTATTCGACAGCTTAAATACGTCTTAACCTCATCACTGAACGAACGTGATTTAATATATTAAACTATAAGAAATGTACTCTACAATATTGACAACCAATTTTTAGATTATATATCCAATTTCTTTGCTATTCTTAATGCATGATATTGCAGGAATTCTATGAATTCACGTTAAAATTAGAAACTATACACATCAGACTCCGTGCTTACGTATACAGCTTGGCTTTTCCCCGCTCCATGTTCCGTTGGAAAGACATTCTCGGATTAAATTCCCGCCTCTGTGGCAGTGATTGTGTAGACACGCAAATATTACGTTTGTACCAACTGGAAGTTGTGAATGTTGAAAATTATTACAGGCCACTCTCGATGTACTTGCGTTTGATGGAAGTTGAGATGTGTTAAACATCTCCGTGGTACTGTGATCAAAGTTTAAGTCTCTGTAAAGACAACCTGATAAAAAAAATCAACTGTCATTAAGTTGTTAAAATCTGCATCAATACTTTTTTTATTTAATCATACATGCGCAATAAGAATAATTTGATTAATTTTAAAATTAGACACATTCTTCTTAGTTCAATACAACACATTCATAAATGAAGATGAAAATAAATTTGAGAATATACCTTTTAAATTATGCGTTGTTGTTGATGTTCCTGCTTCTGTTGTCAATGTCATTGTTGATTCCACTGTGGTTGATAAATACATCGATATCGATTCCTCTGTCGATACCGGTGTTGATTCCACTGTGGTTGATAAATACGTCGATATCGGTGTTGATTCCACTGTGGTTGATAAATACGTCGATACCGGTGTTGATTCTACAGTGGTTGATAAATACTTCAATACCGGTGTTGATTCCACTGTGGTTGATAAATACGTCGATATCGATGTTGATTCCACTGTGGTTGATAAATACGTCGATATCGGTGTTGATTCCACTGTGGTTAATAAATACGTCGATATCGGTGTTGATTTCACTGTGGTTGATAAATACGTCGATACCGATTCCTCTGTGGTTGACAAATATGGCGATAATGTCGTTGATTCCTCTGTGGTTTGAGGCAGATTTGGATAAGAACTCGTATATCCGTTAGTGCACCTTGCTATGGAAACAATTTTGAAAATGCAAGATAAAACCCTATAAGATTTAACAAGAGGCCCAGGGGCCACAGCGCTCACCTGAGCACATCAGGCTTGAATTTACTCCACCCCCCCCCTTCCAGGCATTCATCATTTAAACAAACTAGAATCTACACTACCTGAAGATGATTCCTTATAAATATCACAAATCATAATTTTGAAGTACTTGAAAAGAAGATTTTAAAAGGTTTCCCTATATATCCCTATGTAAAATTTGGGTCGGCCATTTTGGCCCCACCCTAGCCCCGGGGGTCATGATTTGAACAAACTTGAATCTACACTACCTGAGGATGATTCCACATGAGTTTCATCTTTCCTGGCCTAGTGGTTCTGGAGAAGAAGATTTTTAAAGATTTTTCCTATATATTCCTATGTAAAACTTGGGTCGGCCATTTTGGCCCCACCTTTGCCCCGGGGGGTCATGATTTGAACAAACTTAAATCTGCTCTACCTGAGGATGATTCCACATGAGTTTCATCTTTCCTGGTCCAGTGGTTCTGGAGAAAAAGATTTTTAAAGATTTTTCCTATATATTCCTATGTAAAACTTGGGTCGGCCATTTTAGCCCCACCCTTGCCCCGGGGGTCATGATTTGAACAAACTTGAATCCACACTACCTGAGGATGATTCCACATGAGTTTCACCTTTCCTGGTCCAGTGGTACTGGAGAAGAAGATTTTTAAAGATTTTTCCTATATATTCCTATGTAAAACTTGGGTCGGCCATTTTGGCCCCACCCTTGCCCCGGGGGTCATAATTTGAACAAACTTGAATCTACACTACCTGAGGATGATTCCACATGAGTTTCATCTTTCCTGGTCCAGTGGTTCTGGAGAAGAAGATTTTTAAAGATTTTTCCTATATATTCCTATGTAAAACTTGGGTCGGCCATTTTGGCCCCACCTTTTCCCCGGGGGGTCATGATTTGAACAAACTTAAATCTGCTCTACCTGAGGATGATTCCACATGAGTTTCATCTTTCCTGGTCTAGTGGTTCTGGAGAAAAAGATTTTTAAAGATTTTTCCTATATATTCCTATGTAAAACTTGGGTCGGCCATTTTGGCCCCACCCTAGCCCCGGGGGTCATGATTTGAACAAACTTGAATCCACACTACCTGAGGATGATTCCACATGAGTTTAATCTTTCCTGGCCCAGTGGTACTGGAGAAGAAGAATTTTAAAGATTTTTCCTATATATTCCTATGTAAAACTTGGGTCGGCCATTTTGGCCCCACTCTTGCCCCGGGGGTCATGATTTGAACAAACTTGAATCTACCTGAGGATGATTCCACATGAGTTTCATCTTTCCTGGCCCAGCGGTTCTGGAGAAGAAGATTGTTTAAAAATGCCATAAATTTTTCACAAATTCATAATTATCTTCCCTTGGAAGGGGGCGTGGCCCTTCATTTGAACAAACTTCATTCCCCTTCACCCAAGGATACTTTGTGCCAAGTTTGATTGAAATTGGCCCAGTGGTTCTTGGGAAGAAGATGAAAATGTGAAAAGTTTACGACAACGACGACAACGACAACGACGACAGACAACGGACAAATTTTGATCAGAAAAGCTCACTTGAGCCTTCGGCTCAGGTGAGCTAAAAAACCAATTCATCATCTCTTTTATGCACGATGATTATTCTTTTATTCTTGCTTATGTTTTGTGTGGATTTTTTTCATAGTGAATACTACTGTAGATCACTGAATTTTCGCGACACCATATTTTCGCGAAATTGTCTTTGACTCTTGATAAGAGAGACAAAATGTTCACGAATTCTGGTTATTGCTCTATATAATCTTAAGGAATACTATTATACGCGAGAATTAAATTTTCGCGAGCACACTGTCTCGCATAATTACGCGAAAATAAAGTTCTCGCGAATAAAAAGTGATTTACAGTAACTAGTATTTGTTTTTAACCTTGCAGATATACTTTTTGTTTTCCGACACAATGTTTAAGGAAATCAATCTTTATTTGGGGTAATGTAAAATGTAATTTTGGGAAAAAATTCAATGAAATGTTTTCAATATTTCAAAATTAACTTCATGTATATAGCTAATATCGTCACATCAAATTAAAAAAATATGTATATAGACTTGTCATCTTAGTTTGAATAAAAAGATGTTATTAAAAAATTGATTTATCTTTTGCATCTTATACAAATCTTGATAATCATAATTCATAATAATAGTTGATGATCATTTTTTTAAGACCAGGAAAAGACGTGCTTTGAAAAAATTACTAAATTTGAGCATCTTTTAACCCAACATAACATTTTCCTACATAATTTGTACCTTTAAGAACGAGGTAGGGGATAGCTATTTTGCGCGTTTTTTGCGCAAAACATTCTTTAATTATTTCTGTAGAAGATACCCACCCCCTGGACTAGAGAAACAGACAGGGGGCAGTGAAATGCTGCAGGGTTCCATCCTCACTTTACCGTGTTGTGTATCGTAAGACATACAGTCAGTATCTTCGTTATTCTCTAGCAGTACCCCCCGCCACTCCGTCCCCAGGCACACTGAGTCATTCTTCATGTTCATGAGATAACCCTCCAGATGTAAATCATGGACCCCAATCCAAACCTTTGAACCATTCTGTACTGTCCTGATTATAGTATTCAAGATTATAAATTTTAAATACATCGTCTCTATCTCAATTTAAAATGCACTTTAGTTTAACTTTGTGTTGATTTTTGTGAAAAATTGAATTATGTAAGCAAATAATTTAAGTATGTAAATTCAGTGCTATATACAGAGATTAATTGTAAGATGTAGTGTGGCGATAAATGCCCAATGGTAAGAAAATTGTTTTATTTCATTATAGCAGACTTCTATATACTTACAAGTTTGTCAGTAAACTTAGAATACTCGAATCAGCAAAGGTTCCATTATGTGATAGGCAAACTTCATGTGCTTCATTAAAGGTGACACTCTTTGGTGTTATCCGAATGCACACCCCTGTGTGAGTAGATTCAGTTGGTACCGTACAGCGATCTGATTCATTGGAGAATTTAAAGAATCAACTTCATTGGGTTTAGATAAAATTATAAGATGCGATGTCAAAACTAAAAACATGAAATAATTATATTCACATACCAGAAAACATGACAAAATTGTATCCACATTACCAAAAAACAGGAAAAAAAACTGTAGTCACCTACCACATAACAAGAAATATATGTATTCACTTACCAGAAATCAGCATGAAAGAATTGTATTCACATATCAGATAACGTGAAAGAATTTTAAGAAAACACGAACGAATAGTATTAATTTATATTTTACTTTCATGTAAATTACTTGAATCTGATTCGTCGAGAAACATTTGATAAAAAAACACTACTACCCGCTGAATAATGAAGCCACGCCCTCCTGCGTAGCAACAGTCAACATTGCTTGACGACGGGTGGTATTACAAAAATATAGCAACTGCGCGGAATTTATGCGCACACGGTTCACTGTAATATGTATTTGTATAAAACATTCAGTATAATTTAATAAATATTGCATGTTGTTGAGTGTAACATTGAACATTTTCACCCCTCGATAACAATCGTCAACCTCGGCTGCGCCTCGGTTGACAATGGTTTTCTTGGGGTGAAAATTTTCAATGTTACACTCAATTACATGCAATATTTATATAATGGCATGTAAAACGTTGCTTAATTCAATAATCTTGTGATGAATATTCGAAATCTTGTGATGCATTCAAAATCTTGTGCTGTATATTCAGAATCTTGAGATGTATATAGATCTACACAATTTTGTGATTTATATGTCAAATATTGTGATATATGTTCAAAATCAGGTGGTGTATGTTCTATATCGTGTTACTGTGTATATTCAAAATCTTGTGTTAATTCACGTGGCGCAGTGGTTAGAGCTAGTGTCTGCTCTAGAGTCGCGAAGAAATTAGTTGATCTTTACGTACGTCGCGGGTTCGAGTCCCACTGTGGGACATGGAGACCGGTCCTTCGGATGAGACCGTATAAACCAAGGGCTCGTGTCGCAGTAGGTGCTGGCACAAGATCCCTCCCTGCTCAATGGCCTAAAGTGCCGAGTAGAGGACAAAATCTTCAGCTCTCCACCGGCAAGTGGTGGCGTCTCCATATGAGTGAAAAATTCTCGAATGGGACGTTAAACAACAATCAATCAATCAATCAATCAAAATCAATTATATAATGTATGTGCAATGTCTTGTGATGTAGATTCAAAATCTTGTGATGTATATTCAATAATATTTGATGTATATGCAAAATCTTGTGATGCATGTTCTATAAACTTGTGATGTATGTGCAATATCTTGTTATGTGCAAAATCTTGTGATGTGTATTCGATAATCTTGTGATGTGTGTTCTATTAATCTTGTGATCAGATGTAAATGCAATAATTGCATTGTGGTTAATATTCGCAATCGATTTATTTCGACAACCTTTGTAAGGACTTTTTTATGGGTCTAAAAAGTGAACTTGAAGTAGAACTAGACCAGAACGCTGTATAAAGGAGATTCGATGATTTGAGGAGTTCACTCTGTTTATTACATTTAATCTTCCTCAAAATATAGAGAATTAAATTCTTAATCCAGCAGATATTAAATCTCCAAGAAATATTCAACTTCATGTACGTGATATGATGAATTTAATAAATGAAGATCTATGTGACTTTATATATATTTGATTAATGTATGTATGGCTTGCGCCACAATTGGTTTTTGTCAAATTGAATAAATAAATAAATAAAAAAAAATATATTTCCCCAATGCCATTTTTGCAAATACATCACAATTTAATTGAATATACGAGGGTTGTCCCAAAAAGTCGTAGACAATGTGTGTAATTTTTTAAACACGCAACCAATACTTACCAAATTTTTCATAGATATAATATAGTCTATGTTCTTTAAAATTGTAAATTTTTATATACCTATCTATCATATTAATAATATTAGGACGATTTATATGAAGGCCGATAAGGCCTGTCGGCGCACGGACAAAATTCGGAATAATTTACGCATATAGCTACTACATTTGCTTTAATTTCTTAAGTACTACATGTATGTAATACATTGAACTCAAATTTGAATCATTGAAACCAGAATAAAAATCTTAATATTATGTCAAAATTTCATATAAATATCATTAGAAGCAGAAGCTTGGTGTCATAGCTTTCATAGTATCGTTGAAATTGAGTTTGATGAAAATGACGTCGTCAAAAGCGTAACCGGCGCACGGAAATGTAATAAATTGTATTGGATATGGTTAATATACACCAGAAACTGGAAAAAGAGTACAGAAGTGACATTACACACCAGATTTTAATAAAGAAGTTATTTTTAAATTGCACGATATTCAATGAGAGTTTTTCTTCTGTACCGAAAATAGTTAATTACGGCATGTAAGAAGTAGAGAACTGTTTGATAAACGCAGACAATTGGGAACAATCTGGACCGCGAACGACGTCAAACAATTTGTATTATCTGCTGCCTTCAATGTAAGGCGATCTGTCGACTAAATTTCGACTGAAATTTGAATCTGCAGTTTAAAAAAACAAGTAAAAAACAAACAGACAGTAGTGAATTTTAATATGTCCGTTAATCAAGCGTGGACTATCACTTAAAAAAAATTATTGAATGTTAATACCCGCGAGTGAAGCAGACAAATAGATCATGACGTTATAAGGGACGTACTTTACGCTTGCTTTCGTGCGGCGGTGTACACTTATATTTTTTCTCTATTTTTTCATAATTTTCTTATAAGTTGTGATATCATCATGAAACTTGAATGATCATAAAATGTTACTCTTTGCTTATGACAAGGAAATAAATTTAATTAAGCAAAGAGAAACAAAACTGTTTTCCCTGTCTACGTCTTTTTGGGACAACCCTCGTACATCACAAGATTATCGAATATATATAACACGATTATAGATCATATCTAAGATTTTGCGTAAACATAAAAAAGATTTTGGATATATACATCACAAGATTTTGCAAAAATATAGATCACAAAATATTGCACATGCATCACAAGATTATAGAACATACATACATCACAAGATATTACACATACATCACAAAATTTATTATAGAATATACATCACAAAATTTTAAACGTACATCACAAGATATTGCATATACATGTTCATCACAAGATTTTGAATACACATCGAATAAATCAACGTTTTACACGCCATGTAATTCACGTACCATAAAAAAAATGAAAGAATTGTAATTCACATACTAAGAATCCGTTTGGAACACAAAGCCTGTCGTGCTGAAGTGTACCAATCGTCTGCCCATCCATTTTCGTGTTTCCGTACACAGTCTGCATCATTGAAATCATTACGCCACTCCTCACCTCTTATTTTGTTGTATTCTCCACGCTCCACCCAGGCAAACATTCTCTCATCCATTTGTAACGTGTTGAAAGGTGCAAGTTTTCTATTACATTTAAAACATGAGACATTTACTACTTTTCAGTCACTTTCATTTTATCATACAATTCAGTTCCTGTCTAACTTCAAACTTTTTTTCTAATTGTTTTGAGACGAAGAAACTTTACGGATACACGTAGCTAGTAGACTTTCTCATCGTATTCAGGACTCATTTAACATTGGTTTTATAATTAGTCTATATCACTTTTTATCTATGTAAAACTAGAACAACTGAACAACATACTGAAATATATCCTTTTCTAATTTTTTTCCCCGGTGATTAATGTTTGAAAGTTGGGGGAATTTATTTCTTGATAATTCTGCCGGAATGTAAATAAGGCAGGTCGATAGGTCAGCAGCTAAGGAGGACGTATACGCATGCAAATCTCGTGCGCATCTGTCTCTGTGTCTGACGCTATAAAGAGGCCAAATATGCATGAAAATCTCGTGCGGCTGCCTTTGTGTTTGACGTCAGTGTGCGAGGACTGTTGAAATTGGCATGGAAGTCCTCGTGTAATTTAAATCTATTAGTCTACATTTTTAATGTCTAAGTTTACAATTTTATTTCACAATGAAATGGAAATATAAGGAATCACTGTCTAGTTTTGAGAGTTATACAAATCATTCCATGTTTCCCACTATTGTTGATGCCCTGGCATACTCTCAAAACTAGACAGTGATTCCTTAATTAACAGGCGATATTTCTTGATCCAAGGGACGTACACGAAGTGTCCATTAAATCCAATTTCAATCAAATCAAGTTAATTTAGAGAATATATGTCCCCCGCTTAAGCAAGAATGGAAGTATTTAGAAGAATTGAATTTTCAGATGAATAAAGACAAGAGGCCCATGGGCCACATCGCTCACCTGAGCACTGAGGCTAGAAAAAGGTAGAAAATTGGTTTATTATTCAAAAGTTTTAATCCAAAAGAAGTCCCATGACCAATCATGGCTTTACTGTTCTTGAGAAGATGATTTTTAAAGAATTTATCTATATATTTCTATGTAAAACTTTGATCGGCCATTGTGGTCCGGCCCTACCCACCTCCATATAAATATGATGAATTCTCGTCATTCTTAAGAAGGTTTCATAAAGAGTTCTCCTATATATGTCAATGTGAAATTTTGGCCCCGCCCTACCCCCGGGGGTTATGATTTGAACATACTTGAATCTACACAACCTGAGGATGTTTCCATATAAATATGATGAATCATGGCTTTGTCATTCTTGAGAAGAAGATTTTTAAAGAATTTTCCTATATGTGTCTCTGTTCAACTTTGGTCGGCCATTGTGGTCCCGCCCTACCCTAGGGGTCATGATTTGAACAAACTTGAATCTACACTACCTGAGGATGCTTCCATTTAATATGATGACTTATGGCTTTGCTATTCTTAAGAAGAAGATTTTTAAAGAATTTTCTATTTATTTCTATGTTAAACTTTGGTTGGCCGTTGTGGCCCCGCCCTACCCTAGGGGTCATGATTTGTACAAACCTGAATCTACACTACCTGAGGATGCTTCCACATAAATATGATGAATTATGGCTTTGTTATTCTTGAGAGTTGAATCTACACTACCTGGGGATGCTTTCATATAAATATGACCAATCATGGCTTTGTTATTCTAGAGAAGAAGATTTTTAAAGAATTTTCCTATATATTTCTATGTAAAACTTTGGTCGGCCATTGTGGCCCCGCCCTACCCCTGGGGGTCATGATTTGAAGAAACTGAAATCAACACTACCTGGGGATGCTTCCATATAAATACGACCAATCATAGCCTTGCTATTCTTAAGAAGAAGATTTTTAAAGAATTTTCCTATATATTTCTATGTTAAATTTTGGTCGGCCATTGTGGCCCCGCCCGATCCCGGGGGTCATGATTTGAACAAACTTGAATCTACACTACCTGGGGATACTTCCACATGAGTTTCATCTTTCCTGGCCCAGTGGTTCTTGAGAAGAAGATTTTTTAAAAATGCCAATAATTTTTCACTAATTCATAATTATCTCCCCTTGGAAAAGGATGTGGCCCTTCATTTGAACAAATTTAAATTCCCTTCACCCAAGGATGCTTTGTGGATAGTTTGATTGAAATTGGCCCAGTGGTTCTTAAGAATAAGTCGAAAATGTGAAAAGTTTACAGACCGAATGACAGACAGACAGACAGACGGACAGACAGCTAGACGGACAGACGGACGCCGGACAAAATGTGATCAGAAAAGCTCACTTGAGCCTTCGGCTCAGGTGAGCTAAAACCAAATCAAACTCAGTCGTTTAGCTTAAAGGCAAGAAGTCTTTTAAAGTTAGAAAAAAAAAACGAAGTCAAACCTTATATTTTATTGCAAAAACTTATACAGAAAGTCTAAAACTTACGCATGCAATGTATTTTTGTCCTTTACCTTTGAACTTTTGACTTCAAATTAATATGGTTATTTTTAAGATCCTAGAGAGTTGTGAAATATAATATTTCATTTCAAAATCTCGAAGACTTTTTAAAGATATAGATTAAAACCAAATGTGTTATACAAACAGAATATATGAATTTCTGACTTTCCTGATCGTTTGACCTCACAAACAATAGGGTCCCTCTTTAAGCTCATTGGCATAAGAAGCAAATTAATAGGGGGTGGGTAATTGAAAGAGAGATAAAATCAAACATAAAAAAACTTGACACGCACAAACCAGAAGTCTCTGAAGAGACTGTAGCTCTACTGCTCTGTACGTATAACAAAGGAAAAGTAGCACTAGGATTTTGCAACAGGCAACAATAAATAGAATTATGTATTTTAGTGAAGTTTACTTGTGTGCCAAGTTATATTGAAATAGTGATGATTATTCGTTCAGAAAAAATATGAAAAGTATTTTGTCATGACTACAGAACAAAATGACGTAAAACATTGCGAAGGCCCCAGGAAGTTAATGTTTCCAAAGGAAGTGCGACAGGACTGGAATTGAAATTATTATTGTCACTGAAATCTATCAAATATCTATAAACATTTACATTTAGGACGTATTGTAAAGCATAATCAATATCAATTATGTCTATGTTTTAGCAGTTTTTTGTCTCAGTAGATGTATAGTCATGTAAATGACGTAATACATGTCAGCTGTTTGTGAGGTATATTTAAAAAGAATTTTTCATTAAAACAACTTTCAAGAAAAAAAAATTATTTTGTTAGAAACCCAATCTCGCTTTATAATGGTAATCCGGGAATGACAAACCTAACTCTGTAAAATAAAAAATGCACGCCGCAATGACGGTGCCCATACGACACAAAATAACATTAGTTTTCGTATGCTAATATAATACATGTAACTGCAAAAGTGTTTCAATATGTAGCATTAGAAAAAGGTTAAATAAGAAAAGGGACTTGAACTAAGTTTTGATATTTTTAGATTAAGTGTTTCGTTACTCTACATTTCGATTATTTGTATTTTGCTTCATTTAAATAGAAAAATATATAAAAGTGTGTGTGTGTGTGTGTGTGGGGGGGGGGGGGGGGTACTGATTATCAAGATGTACAATTATGACTACCAATGAACAAGTTTATATCAAGAATTTAATTTCAAACTAGAGACAGTCTTTTCCTATTTTCTGTTGATCTCCTCTCGACTCTGACCGTTGGTCGATCGTTTACAGCCGACATTAATGCAAGTGACCGCGCATTGCTTAGAAAACGAAACGCACAGACTTCAATAGCTGACGTGGATAAACTATGTAAATCATACACATAACATTTCAATGTAGTATAATATTTATTTCTACAAGTCTAGGAAATCATGCCTGTTAGACAGTACTACTACATTGTACTACTAAATTCTGGGACCCCTTCCCAGAAATTCGTGTTTTTTACCTCCCGCTTGAAAATCAGGAGGGTTATAGTAATTGATATGTCCACCCGTCTGTCTGTCTGTTAAGCTTTGGGGTACCCGTCTCTTATCCGCATATCCTATTATACCACTGAATGAAATTCAATGAAATTTTCACAGAATCTTAATAACATATTGCCATTGCGCACCTTTTATTTTACTCTTTGATCCGACACATGTTTTGGGTTTAACGGCAAAACATAAAAGAGAGGTACACCCAAAGCGTAACAGACGGACAGACACCCCGATCAATATATACCACTTTTCAAGCGAGGGTAAAAAATCTAAAATTAAAGAAAATTGAAAAAGGCATATCATATAACCCCGAAATAGGGAGTAATTAATATGTTCATAAAAAAGACCCAACATTTATAGCGCCGTAACGTGTTGGAATGGAAAGGGGGAGTTCTGTTGATAGCTTTTTCATTGCCAAAAAAAAAAAATCCAACTTCATAAACAATACGTTCAATTTTATAAATACTCACCTCATTTCATCTGGATGAATAAAGTTTCATAGACTAGCGTGTTTGGTACAATCATTTGTTAAAAAATTATATATTTTTGAAAATTATTAAACTATTTAAGACTATCAACGATATATGATGAATTGAAAGATAGTTCAAAATGGTTTACTGGAATATTGGCTGGATTAAATAAATAGTTTTCGGTTAAGAGAATTTACAGATTTCATTTAACGTAACGTTAAAATCAGTAACGTCGTGATGACGTCGTTACGTCAAAAGTTGTAATTATTGAAGAAAATGCACTATTTTTCCAAACCTCTGGCGGAAAAACGGTAAGAGATAATTCCAAAAAATAAAATGAATTTGAAAGGACACATCGTGGGCTTGTTTGTAAAAAACTTCAATCATATTTAGAGACATGGCCGCCTCGTTATACATACCGTACCCAGTTCTTTATAACAGTTCATGAGTCCACTTTTTATCACATAGTTTCATTATGAGAAGCTGGGAAACAAGGGCTATTCGAGACAGTGCATTATAAATGAATGGTAAAGAATCGGTAAACTAGAGTGAAAATAAAAGCTTCATCAAAGCTGCTGTAAAACTTGTTGAAAATCCCAAAGTAATATTCACTGAAATAT